CCTGCCTGGGGCAGGCCTCCCCACGCCCGGGCAGCCCGCGGATGAGCCCCGGCCCTGCCTGGGACAGGCCTCCCCACGCCCGGGCAGCCCGCGGATGAGCCCCGACCCTGCCTGGGACAGGCCTCCCCACACCCTGCAGCCTGCGGATGAGCCCCGGCCCTGCCTGGGACAGGCCTGTCCGAGCCCGGGCCCTGCCGGGGACAGGCCTCCCCACGCCCGGGCAGCCCGCGGATGAGCCCCGGCCCTGCCTGGGGCAGGCCCCCTGAGCTGAGCCACCTCCTTAGCCGAGCCACTCCTTTGATAAATGAGAAAGGAATTTCTGACAGCTTTTGGTGAGGTGGTGGTGGTGGAGATCAGGGGGTTTTGAGGATGGTTTTAATACCGTGTGTGCACCACCAAGAATGTAGTTGTGAAAAATAAAGTGCCTATAAGGCACTTGCTTTAAGTGTATGTGCTTATTTTATTGGTACATGGCAACAAAAACTAATAATTAGCTTGCATGGCTTTTTAATAGTTTATATTTCTGGAGGAAAAAAGATTTAGTAGTGAAAACTACTTAAGATAATTCCCATACACTTGACAGCTTTTAAATTTTGGAGGAATTGTGTTTGCTGTTTGCAAATTAATACTATGCATTTACTCTATACTTAAGCATTTCTATGGGTAATCCTGAGTTTCCCATATCTAGTTTAATATGGATTTTTAACTGTTTTACATTTAATTTGTTGCTTACTCAGTTTCACAAGCTTCTGTGTCCCTTCCTGTAAAGTGATATTTACGTGTTGGGGATGCAGCTCTGTGGGAGGGGGCTGGGCTGGTGTGCGTAAGGCCCTCTTGCTGCAAGTGTAATGGTATTTATGTTGTCTTCCCTTGGATTTTATAGGGGATTTAAGAAAGATCAGGTCAGCAGGTAAGCAGCAGCACAGGCCAGTCAGATGTGACTTCAGAAAACACTTACCATCTGTCTGCATTCTCATTGATGGTTGTATTGTGGAAGTTCAGCTCGCAACACTAATTGCGTTAAACACTAATTGTATTAGTGTTTATAGTCTAATGGAGAAATACAGAAGATTATTCTGTTCTAAGTGTGTGTACCTAATGAGATAGGTAATTTGAAGATGGGTTTATTTTTGGTAGTATTAGGGTTTGAACTTAGGGTCTTATTATTTTTTTGGGGTCCGGTCGTGGGGCCTGAACTCTGGGCCTGGGCGCTGTCCCTCAGCTCTTCAGCTCAAGGCTACTGCTCTACCACTTGAGCCACAGCGCCACTTCTGGCGTTTTTCTTTTTGCTTATGCGGTGCTGAGGAATCGAACCCAGGGCCTCAGGCATGCAAGCCACCTTCCCAGCCCCGAACTTAGGGTCTTATACTTGCTGGGCTGGCTTGCTTGCCTGGTGTTCCTACCCACATGAGTTATGTCTCTATCCCTGCTTCTTGCTGGTTATTTTGGGGATGGAGTGTCATGGACTTTTCTGCCTGTGCTAACTTCAGATTACAAATCTCCAGATCTCTCCTCCTGAGTAGTTAGGATTAAAGTATAAGCCACAGGTACCTGACTGGAAATTGCTTCTTAGGTCTGGTGTTAGCTAATAGTAATTCTTGAAGGTCTGTTTGTTTTTGGTGCTGGTCCTGAGACTTAAACTCAGGGCCTGGGTACTGTCCTAGTGTAGTTTGCTCAGGGATAATGCTCTGTCCACCACCTGAGCCACAACTTCACTTCTTGCTTTTTTTGGTGGTTAATTGGAGATAAGATCTCATGGACTTTTCTTCCTGGGTTGCAAGTATTAGAAACCTTAAAGAAAAGACTAATGCTTTTCTACTACATAAAATTCAAAATGCAATTTTATGAGGTTACATTATAATGACTGAATGGCTGGGCATAGTGGTGCATGCCTGTTACCATCACAGCTACTTAGGAGGTAAAGGCTCATGGCCCAAAGTTGGTGCAAGAACTTACCCAGAAACACACTAAAAGCAAAAATTATTAAGGACAATGGCTCAAGTGTGGAGCACTCAGCCAGCAAACCTGAGGCACTGAGTTCTTTGACTTCGAATGTTTTATTTTGTCCAATGTTGACAATTTATGCCTACTTTTGGTAAAATACTGAGTTTGTCATTTCAGGGTAAAATATTTGGAGTTCCTGTTCGTGCACTGCCCCATTCTGTTGTACCAGAATATGGAAACATTCCAAGGTAAGCAGAACTGGAAGTGAATCCTGTCAGCCTGCCTTGAAGGGGGCTTAGAAAGAAACAGTTGGTGGATTCACACACAGGTTCCGAGCTGGCAAATTACTGCATTTCTTTTTTTTTTGGGGGGGGGTCTGGTCGTGGGCCTGAACTCTGGGCCTGGGCGCTGTCCTTCAGCTCTTCAGCTCAAGGCTAGCGCTCTCCCACTTGAGCCACAGCGCCACTTCTGGCTTTTTTCTTTTTGCTTATGTGGTGCTGAGGAATCGAACCCAGGGCCTCATGCATGCAAGGCAAGCGCTCTACCACTGAGCCACCTTCCCAGCCCCAGGAATCACAAAATCTGAAAGCTAGGAATGACTAAATTTTTATTACCATTTCTTGGTTCTTTAAAAAAAAATATTGGTAGCACACTCATGTAGTCCTAGCTATTTAGGAGGCTGATATCTGTGGATCATGATTCAACGTCAGCATGAGGAGGAAAGTCTGTGAGACTCCTATCTCCAGTTAATCACCCAAAAGCTGTTAGTAGAGTTGTGGCTTGATAGAGCACTAGCTTTGAGCAAAGTAGCTCAGGGACAGCATTCAGGTTCTGAGTTCAAGCCCCAGGACTAGAACAAAAAAATAACAAAAATCTGTCCAACCCTCCGTGTGCAGGGGTGGCTTGACACTCAGCCGTCACGCACCGGTATAGCTAGATCATCTGTTTACCTGACCTATATTTTGATTTTTTTTTGGGGGGGGGAGTACAAGCTGTTAAATGTATATGTCTCTAAAGCTAACATTGGTTGAGGTTATTGTTTAGAGTTTTTTAAAAAATGAGTATGTGCCTCTAAGTGTGAGCAAGATTGTAAGGCCTGGGATGTATCCTCTTTTTCTGAGTAATAGTGTTGAGGTGAGGGAAACTTACTTTTGGGAAAATGCAGTAGATGGTAGCTATTTATAGCTATGTGTGCTCTCTGAGGTCAGTCTGGCATGTAGACGTCTGGTAAAGAGAAGCCAGAGGAGCTCGGGAAGGAGCTGCTAGGGAGGTAATAGGAGATTGAGTCAGATGGGTCAAGCATCATACAGAATGAGTGAACCATGGATTTGGCACAGCAGAGTCCAGGGCCCACCTTAGTGGGAGTGGTGTCGTTTGAGTATTGAGAGCAAATATGATTGGAGAGAGGTGAGTGAAGTCCCGCCCGGTGCATGTGGGTGAGGCCAGGAACAGCCTTGTGCTGTGACAGGAAGCAGAGCGAGGAGTAGTATTGATTCCGGAGAAAGCTGGGCCTCAGAAGAGTGTAGGAAGCAAGGAGGACCCTGAGAGGAAGCTATCAGAAGGGCTACAGGGACTGGGACCTGGTGCTTGTCTGCCGGGGGTCCCGCCGCAGGGAAAGGTTTCTCTTGCAGCTTTCTTGTGGACGCCTGCACATCTTTGGAAGCCCACATTCACACTGAAGGACTGTTTAGGAAATCAGGATCTGTTACTCGTCTAAAAGCACTAAAGGTAAGCATACCCCTGGGCTACGTATTTGATTTGTACCATTTTCTGATTGGGTTCTTGACGACTGAGATGTTTCGAACTTAATTGATAGAAATTGAGTTTACAAGTAGCTTTTATTCCTGGCAGAAAGAATCTTTTTTTTTTCCCCTGAAGAAATTCTATATCGTTTATATACTGCTTTCAAAGTTTACAGAGGACTTTCAAAATTCATTGTTCTTCTTCCTATAAAGTTATATATTAAAATTTTCTGTTTTAGCCGTATAGAAAGGAGTAATGCATATAGAAATACGTGAAGAGAAAGTTATGAAAGAAAGCTTGTTAGTTACAGATGATAATGGTTCCGTTGTTTGCAATAAGCACTATGTCTGAGGCCTGCTTACGCTGTCTCATTCATTTCAGAGCAAAGTGGATCATGGTGATGAAGGTGGCCTGTCTTCCGCACTGCCGTGTGATGTTGCAGGGCTCCTCAAGCAGTTTTTCAGGGAGTTGCCTGAGCCCATCCTCCCAGCTGATTTGCATGAAGCACTTTTCAGAGCTCAGCAGTTGGGAACAGAGGAGAAGAGTAAAGCTACATTGCTGCTCTCCTGTCTTATGACCGATCATACAGTTGATATCCTGAGATACTTCTTTAGCTTTCTCAGGAATGTTTCTCTTAGGTAAGTGGTAATTAAAAAGTCTTGAGAATGACTTTAATTTCTCAACTTCCTAAAGCTGTACTGCTATAGGACATTATTGATGTCATTGTATAAGTGACATTTATTTGAAACGGAAATTTTGCTAAGGAGTTATTTTCTTACTATATATAAGAACTATAGCCTGTATGTTTTATTTATATAATTTAAGAAACAAATTATTTAATGTCTTTGCCTAGAGTTAGTGTAAAAATGCTTTAATGACATAATTTATAAATTTAACTGTCAACTGAGTGGCTACTGTTCACTGTGTTTTGCTTTTTATGTTTTTGCTACTAGTGAGCATATTTTATTTTACATATATTTACTTTACGTATACTTGCTACCTTCTTATGATTAAAATCCAATAAATGTTCAGATTGTGTGAAGGAGTCCATGTGAGCTCTGATTGGCATGGTTTTTGTGGATCATATTTAAGTGCAGAGAGGCCATGTGTTTTTGGTTCCTGTGTTTTTTCTGTTACTTTGTTCTGTGTTGCTGGGGCTCAGCAGGACTGTGCTTTGTAGGCAAGCTCTACCACTGAGCTTTACTCCTAGTGTTGCGCCTTTTTCTGTAAGCCAGTTGTGTAGATGAACAGAGGGCTAAGTTATTTTGACTTGTGTATAACTGATAAAGATGTCTGTGTAGGGTTCTTGATAGTGTTAGTATAACTTTCTGTGCTTTTAACTTTTCTCTATCCTTAAAGAGCCAGTGAGAATAAGATGGATAGCAGCAACCTTGCTGTCATATTTGCACCAAATCTTCTTCAGACAAATGAAGGGCATGAGAAGATGTCTGCTAACATGGAAAAAAAGCTACGATTACAGGCTGCAGTAGTACAGACTCTTATTGATTTTGCACCTGACATTGGTAAGGTGTAGCTACACTATTGAGTAGTGGGGTTTATTGGAATGAGGGCAGTCCCAGCTGCAAATGAACTAGGAAAGTAGCTGGTAGGAAGTTGGCATATTACTTCTGCACACATTTTAGGGGAATGAGGAAGGGTAATAGTTATCTTTCAACCATTTTCATTAAGGGCGTGTACCAGACTTCATCCTAGAAAAGATGCCAGCTATGTTGGGAATCGATGGTCTGTGTGCTACTCCATTACTGGAAGGTTTTGAAGAAGGTGAATGTGAAACTCCTGGTGAATGCAAGAGGAAACGAAGACAGAGCGTCGGAGGTATGTGATTGTCTCACTTAAGCAAGGTATTGATTTGCTTTTACCTGCCTTAGCTGTGTTATGTGCTTATGGCATAGTTAGAAAAATTAGATACGGGCATGTTAAAAGATTCTAATATTAAGCTGGTGCCTGTGGCTCACACCTATAATCCCTGTACTCAGGAGGTGGAGATGTGGGGATCTAGATTCAGAGCCAGCCAGAGCAGCAATTCTGTGAGACTTTTTTGTTTGTCCTGGGGCTTGAACTCTGGGCGTGGGCACTGTCCCTGCGCTCTTCAGCCCAGGGCCAGTGCTCTACCGCTTAAGGCGCGGTGCCACTTCCAGTTTTCTAGTGGTTTATTGGAGATAAGAGTCTCACGAACTTTCCTGCCTGGACTGGCTTTGGATTTGGACTGTGATCCTCAGATCTCAGCCTCCTGCATAGTTAGGATTACAAGTGTGAGCCGCTGGCACCTGGCTGTGAGACTCTTATCTCCAATTAACTACCAAAAAATTGGAAGTGCAGCTGTGGCTCAAGTAGTAGCATGCACAAAAGCTTAGGACAGTGCCCAGGCTCAGAGTCCAAGCTCTGGGACTAGCACATACACATAAAAAAGTCTTTAGCTCATCTGGAGGTTTTAAGTATTAATAGCATTGATAGGTAAAGGTTATATTTTAATTGATTATGTGATTTTATGTACCTTGCATTTCAGATTTTGTTAATGGAGCCCTCAATAAACTTAAATATAACAGAACACCTTCTATTACACCTCAACAGGATAGAACTGGTATGTGTTTGTTAGATATATATCTAATTCAAAGACAACTATAGTAATTTATTAAAAAAAAATTAGAAAAATAGTTACCTGACTTATTTTAGTTAATTAACCAAGTTGAGTTTCATCAAAGCCAAGTGTTTTCCATGAAGGTATTGTAGTGTGTATTTACTGTTTCATGATATTGCTAATTACATTGGTTAAATTGGACCTAAGATTAGGTAAGATTGTTTTAGTCTTTTGCCATATTTTTAATTTTTTAAATCATTATCTTTACGTAATTGTATTTAATGTTCTTAATCATTTTCAGTTTGGATGTAATTTCAATGCTGTTGAACTTGTAAATATAACCTCATTTTGTTTTAGAACCAGGAATTTATTGTTACATGTTCTATTTTATCCTGTGCCTGTCAGGTTATCAGACAACAAAACCTCTTTTTTTTTTCTGTAGTAAAGAAATGAACTGGTAAATCTTAGTTGTAATGAGAAGCAAACAGATCAGTCTTGGTTTCAACATCTTGAGTATAATTTCTTTCCTCATGTTAGTATTCTTTAATCTTTAATAATTGCAGAGTATTTAGTCATATGATGTGTTTGACAATGGAAATATATCTCCTGCATTTTTGCTATCTCTAAGTAATAGCTTTATAATTGAGAAAAGCTTTAGTATTTTACCAACTCTGGGAGAAACAATAATTGGTTTTTGTTTTCAGGTCAGCTCTCTGTATCACCAGTGATTTTTACACCAAATGCTAAACGCAAATTGCCAGTAGATTGTTCCCATGGCTGCTCAAGTAAGAAAAGGAAGTCCATCAAGCACAGTTTTAACTTTGAGCTGTTGCCCAGCAATCTCTTCAGTAGCAGTTCTACACCCGTATCAGGTAGCAAACAGAACTTAAGAAATGGAGACATAAACAGTCATGACAAATTTCTGTTCTTAGCAATGAGCTATTTCAAATTATTACCACTCTTAAGAGCCAACATTTTATTTTGCGTTTTATCAAATCTGAATGTTTGTAAGATCTGCTGAAGATAGTTTTAATAGTGTGTGTGTGTGTGTGTGTGTGTGTGTGTGCGCGCGTGCGTGCGCGCGTGCGTGCGTGCGTGTGTGTGTGTGTTGAAAGTTTTATTTTGAGCCCAGTGCTGAGCTAGGACCCCTTCTTCCCCAAAATGTGTTCTTTTGCCTATGTTATTTGAAGGTTAGTGCTTCTTGTTGAAGCTGACCTGAACCAGTACTTCTTGCTACTCACTGAAGTGTAAGAACTCTGATGTTTCCATCTACAGTTCTGTCTGTAGTCAGAGATTCTAGACTTAAACTCCCTGAAAGTAACTGGTTTCTCAGTGCTTCCTAATAATCTTCTTACAGTTAGGAACATTTTACCTGCCTTTGCTTGTTAGCATTACAACAAAGAATGACCCTTTGCTTCCTCCTCTAATTGTTCTTCACAATGGGTGAATTTTACTATTATTCAGTTATTAAAAAGTTCAACAGTACTTCCATTACTTTTAATTAACCTTTTTGTTGTTGGTGGTGGTCATGGGGCTTGAACTCTGGGCCTCAACTCTTCAGCTCAAGGCTAACACTCTACCACTTGAGCTACAGCGCCACTTCTGTTTTTTTTGGTGGTTTATTGGAGATAAGAGTCCTACAGACTTTCCTTCCCTGGACTGGCTTTGAACCGCTATCCTCAGATCTCAGCCTCCTAAGTAGCTAGGATTACAGGCGTGAACCACCAGTGCCTGGCCTTAACCATTTTTATTTGACTGTACTTTCTCAATTCAAAGTAAATTCCATCTGTAAGATTGAAAATTAGATGGATTTTTAAGTTTGAGTTTTGGCATTTTTTTCTCAGTTTATAAAGGCAGCAAAATGAATCTGCAGTCACCATGGTAGCTATTTATAGCTTTCTTATTTATGTGATAAATTTATCATTCTGACTGTGCCTCCTTAGGATACATTCTTAGGACGACCAGCCTGTAGCCCAGGACGACATACCTGTGTCACGTTGGGGTGTTATGTCTCTAAAGTCACTGTGGTGGTTATAGTTTTTTCTGTTTTCATGACCTGAAAACCCAAGAATATCTATTTGAAGAGCTTTCTGAGTTTCTGTGCTTGTTGAGTATGTAGTAGAAACGGAGCAAGCCTTTGTTGATAATTTTCACTTCTTGCACACTAAATTCCTATAGTTGATTTCATGTTATAAATGCTGTCAAACAGTTTAATTTTGCTCTGTTGTAACCACAGGTTTGTTCTGAAACATAGCAGTTGCAAAGTTGCAAATGATGACTCATTCTTACTGATAGTTTTGTTTTAAAATATATTCCAGATTCAAGTGGACAGCATTGACTGGCAGGTACATTTTGAATAATCAGATGCCAAATTGTCAGTTTATTTTCTATAATAGCATTTACTAGTATTTTGTACCAGATAATTTATTGGCAATTCCTTGTATATTCACAGTGGTATTTATTTTCATCATAGTGTCTGTCTTCAGAGTATAAAACAGTTTCTCCAATGTGTTTGAGCCTATTTTCTTCTTCAAATGACTACAAAGGTCCAAGCCCAGTACTGCTTGCTTAACCTTTATTTGGTAATTAAAGAGTAAGAAATCAGTACTTTTTTTTTACTTGACCTTGGCCTTCAACCAGAAATTGTGATTTTTCACTTTTGCTTTGAGGTGTCAATAAACACTTTACATCCAAGTGCCACTGTTGCTGTTTTACACTTTGACAGTCCCCATGGTAATATGTGTGGTTATGTTTTACAGTTCACTTTGATACAAGCCCAGAGGGGTCATCTCAAAGTTCCATCTCTCCTGTAGCCATGAGTGGAAATGGTTTGATGAGTACAGATGTGCTGCGGCGGAGTAAAAGGATTGCAAACAAAAGACTTTGCAGGTAATCTAGCTCCCACCTGTTCTAATTGTAGATGCATACTTAGAGATTGAGATCATACCGAAATAGGGATCTTGATTAGATATTTTGTTATTCTACCAAGAATCATGTTGAATCATCATTTTAAAATAATCTTTTGGTCTTTATGTTCTTACTAATCTAGTGCCTTTCATATACCAACCAATGGAAAAACTTTCTAATTTGAGTATTTTGCTTACTTAAAATCTTCATATTGTTGATGTAATTTTAAGTTTTCCTGCTACTTTTAAAAGCTGGAAGTGACTGAATCACTTTTATGATAAACTATTTTATATGCAAACATAATGTGCTCATAATTTAGTTTTAAAAAAAAATGTGCTGGCCAGGCACTGGTGTTTCACGCTTGTAATCTTAGCTACTCAGGAGACAGATCTGAGGATCAAAGCTCAAAGCCAGCCAGGCCAGGAAAATCTGCAAAACTCTTGCCTCCAATTAACCACCAGAAAACTGAAAGTGGTAGAGCACTACCTAGCCTTGAGCAAAAGAGCTCGGGGACAGAACCCAGTCCCTGAGTTCAAGCCCCAGACTGATAAAAACATTGTGCTGCAGGTGTGACCAAGTGGTAGAATTTCTGCTTACCAAGTATGAAGCCCTGCGTTCAAACCCCAGTGCTGAAAAGGATCACTCAATTATTAGCAGCAATAAGAGTTGCTATGGACTTTCTCAAATCCCATTTTATAATATGTTATAAACTGACATTTTAAATTCCACTTTTTTAGGGTAGAATCTGGAAAAGCAGGCTGTTTCTCTCCTAAAATCAATCGTAAGGAAAAAGTTCGAAGATCTCTTCGTTTGAAATTTAGTCTGGGGAAAAGCAGCAGAGATGCCGTAAGTGTTATACCTCATAGATCTGATAGCACAATCTATGGTCTAAGCCTAAAGTACTGTAGGCTTGTTACTAAAAGACACGTTCAGCCCTCCCTCTGCTCTGGCTATTCTCCACTCTTTATAGCCACACCCCTTTCCCAGCACGGCCCTAGAACTGCCATTGTCTAGGTTGCCCGTGAATTCAGGATTGCTCAAAGCAGCATGCGTCCTTACTGGATCACACCTGCTAGCAATCACTTGGTCCTCTGTGCTGGTCTTCCCTTGCCCCTTCCCCATTGCCTTGGCTTCCGCCAAAGCTCCTTGTCCAGGATGAAAAGTGCACCAAGGTCTGTGGCCTTGGCAAAAACAGCACAAAAACTTACTCTTTTAATTAAATAATGCAAGGCTATTTTTAAGTTATACCTCAAAATATCAGGAATATTTGTGTTTATTTTGTTTTCCCAGTGAAGTATGTTTTTATGTCAGCTTTTGATTTCAAAATCCACAGAGTTCTATTTGGTTTGAACCTTTTGAATTAACTAGAATTACTTTTTACAACATTGTCATCTTTTCTTTTCTGCACAGAATGGGTGTTCTGGTGTCAACAGATCCGAGCATGTTGGTCGGCGACTTGCAAATCAACCAAGTTTAAAAACTAGGATCGAATCTGTAAAAACAGGTCTACTTTTTAGCCCAGATATTGGTGAAAGATTATCAAAGAAAGGTACCCTCGTATATGATATGTTAGAATTTTGCCCCAAAATGCTGCTTTAGTTGTTTCTTTAATGGTAAAACATATATAATAATCTGCTGTTTTTAAAAGTTAGAAAAATTTCATGCTTCATAGGGAAAAATACTTAAATTGACAGCTTATTTTTCCATCAACAGTTGGAGGGTGCCTATAAATTAAATAGAAAGATGGTTGACATCTTTATATTATGTCTTCACACATCTTTAATTTTCTGAAGTGTAAATGCTTAATACTCTTACTTGCCATGTGTGGATAGTATTTCAAAACTAGAGATATAAAGTATTAAAAGCACTGACCCTACTTCATTTTAGGTCCTAAAAAGATCAGTAAGTCTGAGGAAAACTTACTAACTCCAGAGCAAATGGATGGAACAAGTTACCGGATGTCTTGGACAGGACCCAGTAATTTGAGTTTCCAAATGGATGTAAATGAAGCGTCTCCAACAATGGGGAATCCTGAGGTGGAGAACTTTCCTTTGGAGCCCAGTGTCATGATTGAAAAGTTACCTGCTCTGTCATGTGAACTCAGGCCTTCTGCTCTGCAGGGCCGGCCTGTGGGCAGCGCCTTAGCGAGCTCCCTCAGTGGGGATGAAAACAGTGTCACCTCAGAAACGGTGGTGAAAATTCAGAGAGCGTTTTCTGAGTCCGGAAGTCATCTTCATGCCCTGATAAGTCACAGACGGTCATCAGTGACTGCAGAGGAGGAAGTAAAGTTAACCGAACCATTGTACATAGAAAGTAGCCCGGAGAAAAGCCTGTGTGAAGCTGATGATGAGACTGTGCGAGAGTCAGAAGAAAAGTATGGAAACGGCAGTGGCAAAGACAAACATTATTCTTCAGAAGTAGATGGCTTACCCCATCAAAGTGAAACACTTGGAAAAGAAGCCACTGGGGGGTGGTACTCAGCTCAGATGAGGGTAGAAGATGAGCTTCATTCAGATATACCAAAAGATCATGTAAGCCAACAGCTCCCCAGTCATGAGCAGGTCCCGGAACAGCAGTCCCCAGGGAACGGTCAGACAACAGAGGTGAAGGACAGCGAGAACAAGAGTGAGGACAAGAAATCCGCAGCTTCCAGCCCAGCTGAGGCTCAGTCCTCTTCCTCACAGCAGAGTGTGTGCGAGGGTTTGGGCCAGTCAAAGCCTAAGCCTGTGGGACCTGCTAAACAGCGTGCTCCGGTAGAAAGCTGTGATGGGACTGTTTGTGAACTCTTGCAAATGACAGAGCCCGGGAAGGTTTCAGACCACATACAGTGGTTTAATAAGTTGTCTTTAAATGAGCCAAATAGAACAAAAGTGAAGTCACCTCTGAAGTTTCAGCGTACACCTGTCCGCCAGTCTGTTCGAAGAATTAATTCTCTGTTAGAATACAACAGACAGCCTGGTAGGCAGAAGCTGGTCATCCCTTGGGATGCAGCTTCGCCCCTGGTCAAGTCTGTGAGCTGTGACAGTGCCCTTCCCTGCCACACAGGGGGGGTGTCAGCAGAGACCTCTGCTTCAGATACTCGCTCAGCTCCTCAGGACCCCAGGGCCTCATCGTGTGAATGGTCGGGTATTGACGGAATTTCAAAGTCGAGCACAGGGCTGCCTTCCAGATCTTTTTCAAAACTAAGGAGACACCCAGAGTCTGTGAATGCTACTCTTCAGCCTAGAGTCTTTAAACAGGAAGTTGTATCTGATGGCCAAATTAAGATTCCCTTGGATGATCTGACTAATCATGATATTTTAAGATCTGGTGTAAATAACAAGGGCTTTCCTTCTGGGATAAAAACAAGGGTCCTTAGGAAACCCTCGGAAAGAGAAAGGGTCTGGTACAAAGGATCTCCAAAACATCCTATTGGAAAGGCTCAGCTGTTACCAACAAGTAGACCTGTGGACTTGTGACTGGCATGTGTACCTGTTGTCAGTGTAAATAAAATTAGTGACTTGGAGGGCAATGGACATGTTAGTTTGTAGCTCAGGGTGACTTTATGTAGTAAATTTTCCTTGAAACTTGATTTTTACCACAGGAACACTTAGAAATTCCATATTTGTGCATATGACTTTTTTCTTAATGATGGCAGTCTTTTAATTTTCCTGCAGTCTTTACTCTCTTCAACAAATCACTGTCTCGATTTACAAACACCTCTGCAAGTGATAATTTTTATTGTACAAACAATAGGAAGAATGGTGCAATTAAACCTATGGGCTTGATTTTCCTCCAAGTCAGAGAAGGTTTCTGAAACAAATGTTCCTACATAAAGGGGAAGAGAGGGTTAGCCTCCCCGATCTTAGGTCTTGAATTACCTTAGTGTTTCTTGAATACCAAACTCCTTAGAAATGAGTTTGCTTGGATGGTACCCCGTGTGCGTCTGGTACCTTGTGTGGACTTGACCAGGAGACGGTCTCGTGGTTACCCTGCGGGTGTTGATTCTTGAAGCCATGCTGTTTTCAAAGGTCATCTGGGCCAATACATGTGTGTCTGTTATACCCGATATGGAAGTTGAAAATGAATTAAGAAGAATAGGGTTAAAGAAATGCAGGTGGCGTTCCCCTTGAAGATGCTTGGTTTTAACGTTTGGATGCTTGATGAATGTCTCTTCCTTTTACTTGGATTAAAAACCGGATGTTTTATCTTGTGTGTACGTGGTCGGTCTTTAACACACGTGGAAGAGACCTGCCCAGAGTGGCTCCACACGCTGGGCCACCGCGTACAGGCGCTGGGCCTGACTGCAGTTGGCCTGTTTCTCAGGCCCAGGGCCCTGGCTGGGACCCCGAGGCCGGGCCCCGCCCCCGGGAGGTAGGCCCCGCCCAGCCTCCGGGCCCCGCCCCAGCGGAGGCAGGCCCCGCCCAGGCGCTGCATGTTCTGAGAAGGCGCTACACCTTTAACACCGGGTTCTCGTGGGCCGCGCGAGGGCCCACTCCCGAAGAGGAGACCAGCCCGGAGCCCTAAACGCCAGCGGAGAACGGTCACGGCCCACCCCTGGCTCCTCCCGCAGGCAGGGACAAAGGGAGCGCGGCAGGGGCGGCGCCAGACTCGGAGTGCAGGGCCGAGGGGCGTGGCTCCGCCGTAGAGGCCCGGCTGGGGGCGTGGCTCCGCCGTAGAGGCCCGGCTGGGGGCGTGGCTTCGCCGTAGAGGCCCGGCT